TACCTGCTGGTGCGAGCCAGGCTTATAACAATGTCCAGCGATGCTGGGCCCAAAAGTGTGGATCATTTCCACAGTGTGGGACCCAGGCGACAAAAAAGCCAAAACCACTCATTCAGGGAGGAAACTCAGTTATTGCCTACTCTGTGCCAGACCTAGTGTGGGCCCTGGACTTACCAAGATAAAAAGCGTAAATCAGCTTCTAAGAGTCTTCACAGGACACTCAGCCACATAGACCGGCCCTTAAAGTTCTGAGATCTGTCCACCTCAGAGCACTACAGGCGGCGAGGAAGGCCCACCCAGAGATATCAGGACCATCCAGCTCATCAGTGACCTGGATGGTCCTGATATCCAGGCCTGCGTCTGGGCTTAGCTCCACCTCCGGGTAAACACAGAATCCTGAGCAAGTGATGCACCATCTCCCCCCCCTCCACACACACACACTTTCCTTCCCTCTGTTGTTACTGTCATGATAAGCAGCTGTCGTCACACATCTGATTGCAGTACTGGCTGGGGTCACATACTTGGGTTGTGTGCTTGCTTATTTGGGCAGTGGGGGACTCACACTCTTGTGGTGCTCACACACATTCTGGCTGTAATGCTCAGTGGTCACACACAGGCATGACAGAGTTAATGGTGTGTTACTTTTAGTGCACACCAAGACCACATACTTTAGTAGTGTTGCTTCTACATACCTGGTATGTGCTAGAGATCACACCCTCCATGGGGATCCCAGATAGCAGAACCACCAGCACTGCACTTGGTGTGTGTGGGCAGCATCATGGATTAAATGCAGGACCTCAGGCTTGCAAGGCAGGCACTTCGAGCAAAATGAGCCGTGGCCCAGGGCTCTCACTTAGCATGTTGTGGTGATTTATGGTTATAAAACCATTTCGAGTATGATCAGGTAATGGCATGTGATTTTGTCAAAATACTAATATTTTGTTGTTGTGCTGTTGTTGTTGTTGTCAGGTCCTACCTGGCTGTGCATAGGGCTTACTCCTGGCTCTGCACTCAGGAATCACTTCTGGCAGTGTTCCAGGGACCATATGGAATGCTGGAGAATCAAACTCAGGTCAGCTGGATGCAAGGCAAGCATCCTACCCTCTCTACTATTTCTCTGGCCCCTGTTGTATTTCATTTTATTTATTTATTTATTTATTTATTTTGCTTTTGGGGCCTCACCCAGTGTAGCAATCAGGGCTTACTCCTTTCTCTGTGCCCAGGGATCATCTCTGGCAGTGCTTGGAGGCCATATAGGGTTCCAGAGATTGGACCTGGGCCAGCTTTGTAGAAGGCAAGTGACCTAACTGCTATACTAGTGCTCCTTTTTAATTATCTCTGAGTCTCGGTTTTCTCATTTATAAAATGAGGATAATAGTACTATCTGTTTATGTTGCTGTGAAATTGAGAAAATAAGCTACCAAAGACATTTTTTTTTGTTTTGTAGTGCTAAGATCAAACCCAAGGTCTCACACATAGATCTACCTCTGAACTATCTTTTCAGCCTAAGCTATACATTTTTTTTATGTACAACTGCTTGAGAAATGCTAAACTTGGGTCAGAGAGGTAGTACAGCAGGTAGGGCACTTAACTCATACACAGCTAACCCAGGTTCAATCCCTGACATCCTATATGATCCATCCTTGGGGGATCACTGCCAGGAGTGAGTCCTAAGTGTAGAGCCAGGAGTAACCCCTGAGCATCATCACATGTGCCTCAAAAAACAAAACAAATACATAAACATCAAACTATGGGACCTGAAGAGACAGTAGAGTGGCCAGGGCACTTTCATTGTACATGGCCTTGTACATGGCCAACCTGGGTTTGATCCCTGAGAGCACATATGCTCTCTTGAGCCCTGCCAGGAGTAAACCCTGAGCATCACCAAGTGTGGCCAGAAAAAAAAAAGGAAGAAGAAGAAGAAGGAGGAGGAGGAGGAGGAGGAGGAGGAGGAGGAGGAAGAAGAAGAAGAAGAAGAAGAAGAAGAAGAAGAAGAAGAAGAAGAAGAAGAAGAAGAAGAAGAAGAAGAAGAATTTAAAACCAGAACCTGGGGCATATTTCAGGGGTCAGAAACACATCCCTTGAATGTAAAAGGACCAGTGTTCAATCCCCAGCCACTTCATGGCCCCCACCAGCACTGCTAGATATAGCCCTAGTGGCCCCTGAGACACTGACTGACCTGGTGGTTCCCAGCACCACTGGGCCTGAGCAGTGCCATGCTACTGGGCCCCAATCTTGAACCAGGAGGTCCCAGGTCCTGCTTGGAAAGACCCCCCGCCAGTCCCCAAAATTAAAAAAAAGGAAATGTTACGCCAAAGGTTGGCTCCCCTTCCAGGGAGGGACCACATGTCCTCAGACAGCTTGTGGGCTAATGTCAGTTGCCGCCACGGTAACTCATCAGCCCCAGTCGTGGCTGGTTCCATCAGTCACACATGAAACACCTAGGGAACACCAGCTCATTAGCAGCCCGGGCACAGGCTGCGGGACAAGCCTGCGTGACACCTACCTGGCAAGAACTAGCTCAGCTTCCCAGAGGACCAGATACAGTGAATCATTCCTAATGACGTGTGACCAGGGTGGACAGGGCACCTCCACCCGCACAATGACCCCCCACAAGACACCCATCCATAGCCTCAACTGATGCAGAGAGAACAAGTCACAGCTTGGGGTCACCGGCAATCTGTCCTCCAGGACCCATGCTGTCTTCCCAAACTCCCAACACACAGCACATCTTCCCTCTCCAAAGTCTCTTCCTGTGAAGTGTTTTCACCTCCCTGCTCTGCGCTGGCCCTGAGGATAACAGAAGCAGGGGTGGGTGATTGAGAGGTGAATATGTCAGGCTCTTTATCCAGCCTCCTCTCCATCAGTGCCCACAGAACTGAGGAAGGAAGGGAGGGAGGGACCCCCAGGGGGACTGTGTCTACTCGACCTGGTCCTGACTCAGGCCCACACCTGTGCTGGCCTCGGGCAGCTGTGCTGCTGAAAAGAGGAAACTGGGTGGGGGAACACAGCAAGCAGGAGCAGGGAGGGGCACAGGAGGGGGCTGCTGCGTGTCCAGAGTCTGCAGCCCCCACCCTGCCAGGAAGCAGAGAAACGCCAATCTGTGGAGGGAGCGCAGTGACAACCTGGCATGGGAATGCTCCTGTGGGGTCAGACCAGTCCACCCAGGAGAGTGGGCTCAGCAGGGAGGACCACAGGGACACCTCATGCCTCTCACAGCCCCGGGTGGGGTGGGGGGATTGGGGGGGAGTGGCTCTGAACCGCTAGCTGGGGGCCAGGCGCAAGCTCCAGGAAGTTCTTTGCATGTCTTCATGATCTCATTGAACTCTCCCAGCTCCCCAGGAAGTTCCACTGTGATTCAGCCTTACATCTGAGGAACTTGAGACTCAGAGAAGCAACTAAGAATACACTGTAGTAGGCAAGATGAACCCACCCCAAACTCCCCATCCATGCTGGGATCAAATAATTCTTTCGAGGGTCTGAGCCATAGATCCACTGACTGCAGCACCAAGTTCAATTCCCAGCACCTCATGGTCCCCTGAGCACTATCAGGAATGACCCTGAGAGTACAGTGGGTAGGACGCTTGCCTTACAAGTGGGTGACCCAGATCTAATCTCTGGCTATGTTCTTTTGCTAAAGGATCACATCGCTAGGAGTCAAAGGCAAACCATGCCTTGAAGATTTTATGCTAAATATGTGGAAGCAACATGCTAGAATATGTGGTAGCAATATGCACAGAACTGGCAGCAGGAGGGGTCACTCCACTGCTTTTCTGAATGGCTTCCCCAGGTTTCTTATCCAGGCAGAGACAAGCTGCACAAAGAATTTGAGCACACTGATCCCTGTGACTCTCCTCATCTCACAGTCAGCCCAGGAAGGAAATGGAGGCTCAGAGGTGCCAGTCCATGAACCCAGACATAACACAGGCAGATGCCAAAGTGGACTCAGTGAGACCCCAAAGTTGAAGCTTTTCCTCTTTCTAGCCAGGATTAACTTCTCTTCATCAGGGGCTGGAGCAATAGTTTACTGGGTAGGGCATTTGCCTTGCACGTGGCCAACCTGAGTTTAGAATTCCATGTGATCCCCTAAGCATCACCAAGAGTGATCCCTGAGTTCAGAGCCAGGAGTCAGCCCTGAACACCATCAGGTGAGGCCTCTACACAAACAACAAAAGAAAAAAAATCTCTGTACAAAAGCAGAAGTAGCCCCTGAGCACCGCCAGGTGGAATCTCCTCCCCCCAAAAAACATCTCTTTCCAGTTCCCACAAGCCAGCTCTATTCCCATTTGCCCCTGACAGTATTCACCTCCCTTCTGTGGGGAGGTGAGTCAGGGTGACAGACACTCAATGCGCTGAGCACATGATCCACATGAACAAACCTGGCTTCTGGTCACCATACTGCACGGTCCCCTGGCACTGCTGGGAACAAGCCCTGACCACCAAGCAGGGAGTAGCACCTGTGCTCTGTCAGGTGTGTCTGCCAAACAGACCAAAAACCACTCGGAAGGCTGAACCCTGCAATGTCCCTGTTGCCTTGGAGATACAGAGCAGAAGTCTTTTGAAAATGGGGCTTTGCTAGTTCTCTGGCCTCCCCACTCACCCGCCTTGGAGGGGCACATCAGAACAGGATCCAGGCTGGCGGGGGGGAAGGGTGGTGGCATAAGAGCACCTCTGCCCTGCAGTGACGATGCGGAGGCCTGAAGACAAGAATGGGTGCCAGGGAAGTCCCACAGGACACCCGGTCCAGCTTAGTGTTTGGAAGACCTTCCCATCCTGCTCTAATCACTGAGCCAGATGCGGGGTAGTCTGGTGGGTGGGCAAGGTCATCGGCTTTCAGACAGGTTGAGACCAAGGCCCTCATGGTAGGCCGGGCCACAGCATCAGTATCTTGGAACCCATGGACCCTGTGGTTCTGAGACTTCAAGGAACTGGCAGAGGGATGAAGAAGGCTCCAGAACTGCTGTGGGCTTTTTCCTCCTGCAGCTATCGCTGAAGTGGTAACTGCCAAAATGAAGTTCAGGCCTTTTGTGACTTCTGACCAGAGCAAGAACCATCAAAGCTATTTCAACGCATCTTCCCACATTCATAGGAAGATTACATCTTTCCCTCTTTCCAAAGAGCTGAGGCAGAAGTACAATATGCGATCCATGCCCATCCGGAAGGACGAGGAGCTTCAGGTGGTGCCAGGCCACTACAAAGGTAAGCAAATTTACAAAGTAGTTGAGAGTTACAGAATGAAATATGTCATCTACATTGAACGAGTCCAGCAGGAGAAGGCAAATGGAACAACTGTTCGAGTGGGTGTTCACTCCAGTAAGGGGGTTATCACTAGACTAAAACTGGACAGAGACCACAAAAAGGCCCTTGAACACAAAGCCAAGCCTCATCAAGTAGGAAAGGAAAAAGGAAAATATAAGAAAGAAACACTTGAGAAGATGCAGAAATAAAGTTATTTTATATACAACTTGATTTAAAACTGTAAAATAAAAAAATTTAAAAAAAGAACTGCTGTGGGGTGAAATGGTTGTTTCTGCTGTAGAAAACAGTACCGCAATTTGGCAATTCTTAAAATGATTGAAAACTAAGATACTCTGTGATCCAGCAATTCATCTTCTGGGTATATTCCTAAATGAATTGAAAGCAGAGCATCAAAGAGATACTTTGACATCAATATTCATAGCAGCATTACTCATAGTATCTAAAATGGGAAGACACCTGAACACCCATTGCTAGATAAATGGATAAGCAAAATATGGCATATATATCTAACATATTATTCAACCTTACATGTTAAAATATAGATGAGCCTTGGAGATTTTATGCTAAATCAAAGAAGTCTTTCACTAAAAGACAAATACCACATGATTCCATGTACATGAAGTGCTTAAAGTATGTGGTTAGGGCCAGAACATTAGTACAGCGGGTAGGGTACTTGTCTTACATGCAGCCGACCTTGGTTTAATCCCAGCACCCCGTAGGGTCCCCCTGAGCACTTCCAGGAGTGATCCCTGAGCACAGACCCAGAAGTAAACCCTGAACACTGCCTGGTGTGGCCCCCAAACCAAAACAAAGTAAGTAGAATAATATGTAGTCAGGTTCATGGACTCAAAAAAGGATGCCAGTTGGGCTGGAAAGAGGAGAGGGAATCATTGCAAAGCGGGCACAGAGTTTCGTTTTCCAAGCTGAAAGAGGCTCTGGAGAGGGGTGGTGATGAGAGTGGCCTATTATGAATGTTTTTGATACCACTAAGCCATCCACTTAAAAACGGTAAAAGTGTCATTTTATGTGTATTTAACCACAATTTTAAAGGACAGGGAAGGCCAAAGAAACCAACTTTTTTTTTCTTTCTTCTTTTTGGGTCACACCCAGCGATTCACAGGGGTTACTCCTGGCTCATGCACTCCGGAATTACTCCTGGCAGTGCTTGGGGGACCATATGGGATGCTGGGAATCAAACCCAGGTTGGCCGCGTGCAAGGCAAACGCCCTACCCACTGTGCTATCACTCCAGGCCCCAGAAACCAACTTTTAGAGCAGTGTCTTTTTTATCTCTACTGGAGTCTGGAAGGTGTGCCCACTGTATAGACAAGGAAACTGAGACCGCAAAGGCAAAGGTACCAGGGAGCCAGGGGCAGAGTGGGCTCTGAGACATGGCGGCCTCCAAAGCTCACCCTTTGCTGACCCACACCAAGGCCTGGGGACAATGTGGACACGGGAGATGGGTCCCGTGTGTGTACTGCAGGGGGCAGTGGGGAGGATAGGGAACTTGAGGGGAGGACTGATTCTGGTTGTGGCCTTGGGACCCACGTGGATGCAGTGAAAGGGGGAGAACTGGGGTGAGGTCAAGCAGGAAATCCTGGACTGGATTTCTTTCTCCCCAGCACCCATATTCCAGCTGGGAAAACTGAGGACCTGTCCCTCACTCAGCCCTCCACCACTCACTGAACAGATGAAAGCGAGAGGAAGGCGGGAGGAAGAAAGGAAGAAATAAGAGCCTAAGTGTCCCCTTCCAGGACCACACCAACACACGCACCCCACAGCCCCACCCCCACCCCACCCCCCATGGCCTGGTTGCCTGGGTTTACAGGTGGGACCCTGCTCTGGCGGCCCTGGCCTCTGGGCCACAATGGAGCTCGGGGCCTCTCAGTGGTGATGTCAGGGGGCCCTTCCTTCCTCCCACATCTGCTCATAAAGGTCACCTATTTTAAACTCTTTCTCATCCCACCCAGCCCCCCCTCATGGGGGGATGAGTTCCTCTGACCTGTGTCAACAGCTCTGCTAGTCTTCAGGTTCACTTTCGGGGCTCTCGCCAGCCCTGCGACGAGGCTTGCACAACCAGGGTTCCAGACCTCAGCAAGTCTCCCCAGGTTGCAGGAACTCACTCTAACAGCTTGGTTTAATGCATTAAATTACTTGCACCATCTTCATGTCTGGGGTCCCCAGGAGCAGATGCCTGGGGCTTACGTTTTCATAGTAGCAAACAGACAACAAATAGAATAACAAAATATTTTGGGTTTGGCCACATCCGGCGGTTCTCAGAGCTTACATCCAGGTTACATCCTGGCTCTGCATCCGGGGCTCACTCCTGACAAAGTTTAGAGGAACATACAGGGTGCTGGGGATTCAATTCGAGAGATCTGTGTGCCAGATAGTACAACAGGTACTATCCTATCTCTCTGGCCCCATATAGTATTTTCAAATGGTGCTACAATAAAACAGGGCAGAAAGATAGTGGCTGCTTTAGAGTGGTTTCTCTGAGGGGGTGACAAAGATTTAGTGAAGAGGATGTCCAAGAACGGTAGCAGCAAGCACAAAGGAATGGAGGATGTATTAGGGCAGGGGTCCACCAAGTGGGGTGCCCCAACCAGCAGCAGCAGCACCACCTGGACACAACTTAGATATGTAAATCCTCTAGCTCTACCATAGATCCCCTAGAAACTTCCAGAGGTGGAACCCAGCAAGTTGAGTTTTTAACAGGCTCTCTAGGCAATTGTGCTGCACCTTTGAGTCTGAGTCACAGAATTATGTTCTGGGAAGAAAACCAGATGGTTGAGTGTAGTGACAGGAAGTGGGGTTAGCACTGACCCTTTATCTTGTCCCACTCACTGCCTTGTCACCTGGCCTCCTCTAGGCAAAGCGGAAAAACCTTTGAAGTCTCCCTTGTTACCCTCAGGGGTCATGAAAACTCGTCAGGTATGAGGTCCCTTAACATCTGCTCCCTCTAGGCCTCCAAAAAAAGTCCTTCATCTTCCTCTCAAACCTTATGCTCCTTGAGGCCAGAGAGAAGCTACAGCAGGTAAGGCATTTGCCTTGTTCATACCCAACCCAGATTCGATAACCAGCGTCCCATATGCCCCCGCCCCCAGTACCACCAGGAGTGAACCCTGGGTGCAGAGCCAGGTGTAAGCCCTGAGCATCATCAGGTGTGGTTCCCAAACAATACAAAACCAAAAGAAAACAAACAAACAAACAAGCATAATGCTCTCCAAAAAAAGTTCTTCACCCATACATCAAAACATACTGTTTCCTCTGTCTACAATACCCTTGCTCCACTGTCTTACCTGAGTGTCACCCAGCCTTCAAAACCTCACTCAGGGTCCACCTCCTTTGGGAAACCCGCCTTGATGCCTGGCCATGGGGAGGGACTTCTCTTTGCTTCCCCATTCTCATGATCGTCACTGAGGTCTGACATTATCTGATGAAAGGAGGATTGGTTTTTATTTTGTTTTATTTGTTTATTTGACTTTTTTGGTCACACCAGCAATGCTCAGGGATTACTCCTCTCTCTGCATTCAGGAATTACTCCTGGCAGTACTGGCGGGTTCTTATGGGATGCCCGAGATCGAACCCAGGTTGGCCACATGCAAGGCAAATGCCCTACTTGCTGTACTATTGCTCCAGCCCCTTGGTTTTTATTTTTTATTTACTTCTAGTTTTACTGGGATATAATAGGCATAGAGCATTTATCTGTTGAAGGTATACCACACAATAATTTTGTTTTGTTTTGTTTTATTGGGTCACACCCAGTAGTGCTCAGGGGTTGTTTCTGGCTTTATACTCAGCAACTGGTGGTGCTTGGGAGACCATATGGGAAGCTGGGGATCAAACCCGGATTGACCTGGGTGCAAGACAAAGGCTCTACATGCTGAACTATCACTCTGGCCCCTCAAACAATAATTTGATATATGAACAAATTAAAAATGATCTCCACTGTATATTTTGTCTATCACCTCATTGTCATTGTCCTCCCGTTCATCGATTTGCTCGAGCGGGCTCAGTAACATTGTGAGACTTGTTGTTACTGTGTTTGGCATATCGAATACGTCATGGGTAGCTTACCAGGCTTTGCCATGCTGGCGAGATTCTCTCGGTAGCTTGCCAGGCTCTCCGAGAGGGGCAGAGGAATTCAAGGCAAGGAATCGAACTCAGGTTGGCCGGGTCGACCGCGTTCAAGGCAAACGCCCTACCTCACCTCACACAATGATAAGTTCTGGAGTAGGTAATAAGAACTTTTTAGAAGTGTGTTTGGGCCACACCTTCCGAGGCTCAGGGGTTACTTCTGGTTCTGTGCCCAGGTATCACTCCTGGTGGTCTGATAACCATATGCAGTACAAGGAATCAACATAGTTTGGTCATATGTTAGGCAAGCACCCAACCAGCTGTACTATCTTTCCAGCCCATTAATCATGTTTTAATTTTTTTATATTTTATGATGCTTTCACTTTGGGGGTTTCCTTGCTAATTCTGGACAGACTGCAACTCCCAGGGTGAGCTAGTTCCTAGAGAAACAACTGAGGAACAAATGTCTCATGCGCAAACCTACCAGTTCAGAGCCAGTATCCCTGACCACATCTTTCACCTGGGTCCCATGAACCCTTCTAATCCTAACCCACCACAGGGCTGAAAACCTTTCTTAAGGCCCAGGGTCTCTGTCAGGACCAAACTATCTATGCCAACCCTGCCCAGACTGACCTGCCCACCTCACTGCTGTCTCCAAAGGAAGCCCTGGGAATGCTCCTCAGCCTCAGGCCCTTGCATGGTCTACCTCTAGGAAACTATGTAATAAACAGTCAATGGTATTGCTTTGACCACTCCAAAACTCAGCCCCCTAAATTCAGTCCTAGAGCCAAGCAAAGGCCAGAATGATGGGCCAGTGGCCAGGAGTGGCTCCACAGGAGTGTTTGCCTTGCAAGTGGAGCCCCTTGGTTCCACGAAACAAACAACAAACATCAACAACAACCCTGAAACACTGAACGGGGAGATCCTGGCACCAGAGAACAAACATGAATAATAGACAGTAGTTTTCATACAGAGAAAGCAGCAGCCACAGAGGATAGGGCATTTGCCTTGCATGCGATTCCCGGGTTCGATTCTCAACATCCCATATGGTCCCTCAAGCACCGCCAAGAGTGATTCCTGAGTGTATGAGCCAGAAGTGGCCCCTGTGT